TTTTTAGACAGCGAGTCTCTGATTCAATATAAAAAAAAAAAGCTAATCAATGAAAATTGCAAATTGATAATAGTTTAGTCCTGAAGAGGATAGGTGGACACCGGGGTCTGCAGAGCGAAATACTAGGTTTTAGGATGTGAATCCCGGAGTCACCATAGTGAAATAAAGTTTGGTTTAAGTAAGGATTGGTGGACCCCGGGGTCAACGTAGTGATAAATAAGCAGGTTTAAGGTGGACCCCGGGGTCTACCTAGCGAAATACTAGGTTTTAGGACAGGTGGACCCCAGGGTCACCGTAGTGAAATAAGTATGTTTCTTTAAAGATTGGTGGACCCCGGGGTCAGCGTAGTGAAATAAGTAGGGTTAATTTTAAAAGGATTGGTGGACCCCGGAGTCACCATAGCCGTAGAGGAATAAGAAGGTTTAATTAAGGATTGGTGGACCCCCGGGACACCTAGATTAAACCTACTTATTTTACTACGGTGACCGCAGGTTCCACCTATTCTAAAAACCTAACTAGCATTTCGTTAGGTAGACCCTGGGGGCCACCTTAGACCTACCTATTTCACTACGTTGACTCCAGGGTCCACCAATCCTTAAAATTAAACCTAGATCTACATGTACTTATTTCACTACATTGACCCCAGGGTCCACCAATCCTTAATTAAACCTAGATCTACTGATTTCACTTCATTGACCCCGGGGTCCACCAATCCTTAATTAAACCTATATCTACTTATAATTTCACTACGTTGACCATGGGCTCCGCCAGTCCTACTATAAAATAAACTGAGATCTACTTATTTCACTATGTTGACCCCGGGGTCCACCGATCCTTAGTTAAACCTAGATCTACTACTTATTTCACTACGCTCACTCCGGGGTTCACATCCTAAAACCTAGCATTTTGTTAGATAGACCCCGGGGTCCACCTATCCTTTTGGCTAGATAGACCCCGTAGTCCGCCTATCCACTTTCTTGATAATAACTGAAAACAATACATGCCAGTTGTCATGAATAGTGAAGGAAAATGAGGGGAAAAAAAGACAATGAGGTAGACTATAATTTATCAAAAAAATTGCAAGTGCAAGTGAAGATCATAAAATCATTTTGTTATTTTCTGGTCATCTTTCCCGGTTTATAAAAAAAAATTCAGTGGGCCTACTACTAGATCTATGTCTCTGAAGAACATTTTGCTTGCCTTTATTAGCTTTTTATATGTACATGAAAGCATAGAATATATAGTTTCACACAAATATATGCACAATACTTTGAAAAAGAAAGATAGGTCATTGTTTTTTTTACGGAATCCGTTTTACGTTGAGAAAAGCGCTTAAAAACAAGTTAAAAAATTTCAAGAATGCCCATAATATTAGTATTAGTAATCCAAAATTACTACCTAGTTGGCTTACTCTTTAATAACCATGAGCAGTTAAGAAAAAAAAAGACAATGATATAGGATTTGTCTAAATATGACCATTAGCAATAAAGATATTGCCCATTTTGTCCAATTATCCTTGCAGGTAAAATCACCCTGCACTGTACCTCAATAAGCACAAAAGGAATATTTCTGTGACTTTGTATAAAGGTGTGGCCTAAATAAGGTAAAGGAGGGGGGTTTAGCTTATTTAGGTCACAGGTGTGGCCTAAATAAGGTAAGGGAGGGGGGTTTAGCTAGGTAACGGAGGGGGGGTTTAGCTTATTTAGGCCATATGTGGCCTAAATAAGGTCACCCAAGAAAATAAGATTCGACGGCGCTTCGAATTGCGGAAGTTAGATCTGTGCTTAGCTTGTATAGCTAGCGAATGTAGAATAGCGGCACTTAGGTCTGGGTTGATGCCTGATGCTTATCATAATATATAAGAAAAAAAATTCGACGGAGGTATTTGAATGTCATGAATAGTGAGCTCATGCTTCAAAGCTTCGATGATTTTTTGTTTATTCAAAATCGTACAGCACTACCGCTCAGTGTCCTGCAAGAATTCCCGGCAAATTCAGCCTTTGCCCTAAGAAAGAGCTGGAAAGAAGGCTTTTAGTTCAATTGCAAATTGGCCTCTCTGTTTCCTATACAAAAGGAAAGACATGTCTGCAATTGAAGTATTATCTTACATAATTTCATCAGTTACATTTATCATTTAACCTGCCTCTTAGTACTGCCTGTACATCTTTTTTCAGTATACGTCTAATTTTTAATGCTAATTAGTTTTAAGCCAGCTATGGAACAAGGGTTCTGTTTGGTGTTCTATTCATCGCCTACTTCCTTGAGTTACCTTATCTGGCCAAGGGCAATGACGCGAACCGTCGAGTTGAATTATATAAAGGGGATTTTAACAAGGAGAGAGAAGCGCCTCGTTCGGCTGTCACTGTCGGAGTCTGGGCCTAAAACAATACATCTCCCCTTTACCCCAGCTAGACTATTATTTCTATAACAGTGACACAGTGTCCCACTTTGAAATGTTCAGTGTTCTGAGAACTGAGGAGAGCAAAGAAGAAAAAAACTTTTGAATACAATCGGAAATTGTAGAGTGCTAAATCTGTTCAATGTGTGCGTGGGTGTGTGTTTAGTGCAATGAACAGTATTTGGTTCAACACTTGATCTGCATAGGACAGCATCATTGGTAAGGTATCAATTGACAACACACGGGCTTCATATTTGTACATGGCGTGTGCAGGTCGAGACTAAACTTTGAATGTATGTGTGTGGAAAGTACGGCGGCCTAAATCTTTAGGTAACATAGGCATACGGGGGGCAGGGCTGTGAGTAAGAGAGTCAGAAAGAGGTGGTTGCTTTTCACATTCTTTTGTTTTCTAGTATACCGTAGTACTATTTCTTGTTCAGTACCGATCAAGTCAGTTTGTATCCATGTTTCAGTGGCTTCTATCAATGTCTTGCAACTCAGATTTACGTAATTAAAGTTAGTAACGGCATGGATTTTTTCTACTAAACCATTTTCATACATTACGCCCCCCTCTCTCTCTCACACTCTTTCTCGTACACTCTCTCTCTCACACACACAAACAAACACACACATACGCACCTGCGCACACACACATATACACACACACACAAACCTAAAGGCACACTGGTAAAAGTATAAAATTGACAGTCTGTCTGTCTCTCTGTGTGTGTGTATGTGTGTGTGTGTTGTATGTTGAGGGAGAGGGGAGAGGTGTCAATGGGTTTTACAGCTGGTCAGTTCTGCAAAAAAAAAAAAAAGAGCCTCCCCTGTTGATAACATAAAATACTAGCAAAAAGTGTGACCCATAGAAATGAGACGTTGTATAATTTCAAAATCAGGTGAGCTGACAGTTTGAGCTTGATACATTCGTAGCTGATTACACAAAGTTTGTACCGTACTCTATTCTTTGGTAACAGGCAGCCAGTGAAGGCCTTTCAGGATTGGCATTACGTGATCAAACTTTTTATTTTGAACTATCAATGCTGCACAATTAGTCGCCCAAATCATGTACTATCGTAACCGCCATATCACCTACAATTGGGTCTAAAATACAACCCGATTACAATTTTTATATTCTAAATTCAGTCAAAATCAGGATTCGATACCTTTAATAGTCACCGAGATACACATGGTTCGTGAGGTATCGTATGCACACTCTTGAATATAATTAAGAATCACGTACTAATGCAAAGGACAATGCTCTAGTACTTCCATCCCTTGTAAACTTGTATGCTCACATTGTTAAGTCACGAACTAACGTAGGTAATAAGAATCAACCCCATAGATTTCTGTTTTAAATTACCTCACAATTAATCTACGGGATCGCTGCGTTGAATTAAAATTTTTCATGAATATTACATCTCTCTCTCTCTCTCTCTCTCTCTCTCTTTCCCTTTTTCTCTGTCTCTGCCTCCCCCGTCTCTCTTTCCCTGCCCCTCTCCCCCGCCTCTCTCTCTCTCTCTCTCTCTCTCTCTCTCTCTCTCTCTCTCTCTCTCTCTCTCAAACTTGTACACAAATCATAAACTTGCTCCTGGTCTATGTTGTTGTTTTGCCGATTCAAACTATTTTCAAAGTTGAAAGGCTGTTTTCAATTAGGCTACTGATTCATCCATTTGTGAAACTCAAGCACCAGTAAATACTGGTAAAATGCCTCACCATGCTTTTTTCTTTCAAAATAAAATAACGTACCGGTAACTTTATAGTTTGTTTTGTTTTTTAAGAACTATCGTAAGCGCCACATTGTGTGCGTAAAGGACTGTACCGCTACATACTTTGCATTTAAGTATTAACGTAAGTGACAAAAATGGCCATATTTTCTCTAAGTAAGCAATTAAACTGATTTTCTGAAGCAGTGACAGAAAATTTGTCATAAAGTCTATATACAAACCAAAAATCAATAAGATATAATGCTCCGTTCATTCGTAAGAGGATTTGAAAAATTGCGCAAAACTTTAATTATAACCATAACTCGAAACCCCATTTTTGTCGAATATGATAGTACGTAATTCAGTCGAAGAATTCTGATAGCGCTATCAGAATTCGTCTGATGGGGAAAGCTGAGAAACAAAAGTGATCTTAAAATCCCATCTAGATAGAAAATAGGATCTAGAATCTAGATCTAGGGTCTAGATTATAGATCAAATTTGTTTACAAAAAAAAAGCTCTAATTTCCGACTTCCGGTGAGACGGAGATCACTGTAATGTCGTCAGCTTGTTTCAGTTTAATGTTTTTCTACAATTCTACGTCTGAAAGAATAATAATGCGTCAAAATTCTGCAAAAAATCAAAATTCCGAGGCCGTGCCGTGGGTGAAGGTCCGCAGCCCGAATGATTCAATTTCCCTCGATCGTGCCGCGGTTGCAGCGCCAGCGGATAACTACGATCACAGAATGTCCCCCTGGTTGAATTTCATTTCTTCAAAGTTTGGTTGAAATTGGTCGAAAGATGACTGACCTTTAAATGGGTCCTTTTTTCGGAAAGCTGGCACTTTAGTAAAAAGCATTAAACTCAAGAAAGACCACAACCAAACTCATTTCCACACCTTTGCCAATGGCCCTGGAAGTTCTGCTCCCTCATCATCTGTTCTCATGCTCACACTCTGCACCTCATCCAGACGTTCTCCACCGCAGGATGCAATCTCATCCGTCCCCACAAAACTCTCATCATCTGTTCTGGCAAGTGATGACTCCCCTTCATCCGTGCCTGGGTACCTTAAATATGTACAGGGAGAATGATTATAAGGTGTGAAATAGAAACTGTTCAAGCTAAAAGAGGCCCAATAAAATGTTTGTAAGGAGGCCTCGACACAAGCATGTTACATAAAATGTTTTGGGCAATCACCTTCAATGGCTTAATGTCATTGAAGAACAGTGCTTGCTCCAAAACAACTGTAATGCTCTTTGCTCAAGGCTGGTTTACAACAATTTTTGTAAAATTTGTAAGTCCCATTTGTTGGTTTGTTCAGTTGGAATTTACAGTGAGCCAAGTGGATACAATTCTAAATGTCTCAGGGAATAAATATTCTTCGTTTGAGTAAAGAGAAGCACATCAAACACAATAATAGTCATTTAGTGCTGGAGATAGAAAATAAGACAAACAGACAGAAACAACAGAGTGAAAGTAAAGAAATAAAAATTATATTGTTAATTAGTTGCTATTGCAAGTACTATTTTCCTATTTGCTAAAATCTCCAAAACTACCTCCCAGAACCAGCTGGACTTCAGTGGTGTGGGAATAGAATAGAACTGTAGAAATTCTGCAAAGAGGCCGAAGGAGCAGACCACACCACACCACCAGCCAACAACCCATTTAGGTATGGATTAAAATGTACAGAAAAAATTATGCTAAGGCATTGCTTTGTAGATGTTTTAAGACCCCTCATCACCACAATTTAGATAATTTAGGAGGCAGGCTTCTAAACCTGTCTGTCAGGGCCAATCTGGGCTGAGAGGGATACAACATCCCAGCATAAATGACTTTTGCTGCTTGATAAAAATTTCTCCCTGTATGCAACAGCAAAGCATCTAATTGCTACACAACAACACTGGTTATTGCCTTTGAGTGTGGTATCCGAATGAAATATGACAAAAGCACAGTAGAAATACCAGCGCTCGGCATTAAGAAGCTGCGGGAAATCTTACGCGACCGGGATCTTAGCAGATGTACCAAGTGAAGAATGTATGGTCACCCATGTTCCAGATCACAACCAATAGAGTGGTCTCCCTCCACTCTATAATGAACTGGTGTGACCCCTAGGTGGGTTTATGACACAAAGCAAAGCGTGGTCAGCTTCGATGACCAATCACAGTGGCATGAGGTATGCCATTCTCACTTATTATCCTATCGCAAGTCTCAAGATCTATGCTGATCCAGATGCCCCTCCATTTTACCTGTCCAAAATTTATAGATTTCCATCTCTGATCGAGTTCCCCCGCCGTTGTCGTTACGCACAAGTACATTGTGACCACCCCAATTAAAATTCAGTCTGTCACGCAAATTCGGGAGTAGAAACAACTGCAGCAATGATCAGAGAAGAGTTCACAGTTCGATGTGATCCTACCTGGAGGTAACTTGTTGGCCCTACCCACCCAGCCTGTGGTGTAAGTTTAGGTGCAGAGTTTAGATGTGCATGTGATGTTTAGGGGAAAATAAATGCATTAGCGAGTTCACACATCGGTGCGATCCTCTCTGGGCAAACATTGTACCGTTTTATTGAGACTTACAATGCACATATGTTCACATTGTGGTTGATCAGTGACGGAATGGGTAGTTCAATGACCGCAACTTTTCACCCTTGATTGATAAGCTGCCGGGTTTTTGTTCCGTAAATTATGATCTGAAATGTGGGACCTTCATCATCATTGCCTTTCGCACCCTGCACCAGCGTATAGGCCATGGACAAACACCTTCCACCTTTCTCTATCCTGGGCTAGCCTGTTGATTTTATTCCATGTCTTCCCATTTTTCTGTAAATCTATTTCTGTGATTCTTCTCCCGGTTCCACGCGGTCTTCCCCTTGATCTCTTACCCTGTGGGTTCCAATCCAAACTTTCTTTGTTATGCAGCTGCCTGACTTCCCGAGAGTATGCCCAATCCATCGCCACCGCCTTCTTCCTACCTCAACTCTGACTGGGATCTGTCTTGTTTTCCTTAACTTAACACTTCCACATTGGTGACCCTGTCTGTCCATCTGATCCTCAGTAACTTTCTTAGACACCTGTTCAAGAAATCCTGGATCCTCTTTATGCAAGTCTGGGATGCGTTCAGTTTCTCACATCCATACAACAGGACTGACTTCACATTTGAATTGGAAATCCTCAGATTTGTTCGAAGTGAGATATCTCTGGTCTTCCAAATCCTATCCAAAGATATGAAAGCAGCCTGCACTTTTCCAATGCGGGACTTTATTTCAGCACCTGTTCCCCCCTCTCTGTCAATTATACTCCCAAGATAGCAGAAGGATTCATCGTCTTCTAGTGCCTTTCCTTCTATTGTGACCTGCTCCTTTCTTAGTGCATCTGTCCTTAGGACCTTTGACTTTCCGGGGTGGATCCTCAAGCCAACAGACTCCGATAGGCTGTTTAATACTAAAGTCTTTGCTTGCATATGTTCCTGGGTGTGCGACAGAAACGCCAAGTCGTCTGCAAAATCCAGATCGTCTAACTGTGTCTATGGTGTCCACTGTATACCATTTCTGTGTCCTCTGGTGGTTTCCTTCATCAGCCAGTCGACTGCCAAGAGGAACGGTGATAGTAAACATCCCTGTCTCACACCAGTCAAAGCTGTCATGTACAACCCTGCAACTTGTCCCTTCGTACACGCTCTTGATGGGATTCCATAGTGTCTCATTATCTTCCATAGTGTTGCTCGGTCTATACTGTCAAAGGCCTTCTCATAGTCAAGGAAGTTAACGATCAGCTGGGAGTTCCACTCCAGGGACTGTTCCACAATAATCCTCAGCGTGGCAATCTGGTCGATGGTTGAGCGATTTTTCCGGAAACCAGCCTGTTCCTCCTGTAGTCTTGGATCCGTTGCTGTCTTGGTTCTCTCCAGAATGATTCTGTTGAAGACCTTACCTGGTATTGAGAGAAGAGTGATCCCTCTGTAGTTGCTGCAGTTGCTGAGATCCCCCTTTTTTGGAAGCTTCACGAGGTGTCCTTCTTTCCAATCCTTTGGGAACTTGCTCTCATTCCAGATCCTGGTAAACAGTGGGAGGAGGACGTCTGCCGTCACTGTGGGATCTTAGCCGAATGTAAGCCTTCAGAGTAGAATCTTAGGAATGACTTTTTAAAAACAGCGTCATCTTAAGCTAACTGGGACCGTACGCGGGGGGATCTTAGGCGGAGAGTACAGCATTACTACTAGACATTGATGTAGGAAAAATGGTGCAATAGTTTTATATTAATACAGTGGGCCCCATTTATAACAGTCATATATATATAGCAGGTTTATAACAAATCCAAACGTCCAAGCATTTATAACGAAGGGTCTAAAAGTTCTTTTGAGGTAGTCATTCGGATACACAAACTCATCTATTACAGTGGTCCAACCATTGGCAAACTCCTAAAACAAACAGACAAGAAAGCAGAAAAACCCCAATAGAGATGAGTACATATTTTAATTTTTATGATGGGTCATACTGTGAGGGCAGGGGAATAATCAATTGTAAAATAAAAATTGGTCAGTGGGTGTTAGATCTATTGCAGATCTATGTTGTGTTCCTTTTCCTAACCGTGGAACACATTTGATTACAAGTAACATGTAGCTTAACATGTAGTTTCAAAGTTCACAGGGCAGGCCTGTAGAGCTATTTAGTTGAATAAAACTTTTTGTGACGTTTGCAACTGCAAAAGTTCATGTGAGTGCATATGTGAAACAAGTAGGTTATTTTAACAGTAGTTTGTAGCGCAGCTTGGTTTTACGTTTTTTTGCATCTAAAATATTTTCTTCGGGTCTCTCCAAAGTCCAGACCTTCTGTTAAAATGTGTCTAATGGTAAAATCTGTGTTGCATTCGACACAAAACGGCTTCTCTTCTCCCTGAAGGAGGTATTTGTAAGTCAGACACATGTGTCCGATGCATAATCGAGTAAAAAATGACTTTGTCTCTTCTGGAGAGGCTCGAAGGTTTTCGCGGACCCAGTTTGGGCTTGAAGTTGTGTAATCTATTATTTTCTTGTTTTTTCTAAGGAGTCTCGCACAGACTGGAGGTGCAGTTTTTTACTTTATTTTTAAAGTCAGTCTGTGGGAGAGTGTTCGTCGTTGATCCCAACAGAAGGGACAAGGATTCCTTCGCCAGGATGTCCACTTGCTCGTTTCCTTGGATGCCCACATGGCTAGGTAGCCATGCGAACATGATATTTTCCCCGGTTTCAGCCAAAGCAAGTATTTTTTGTTGTAACCTTACTATTTTTGGGTGTAAGAGTGCGTAGTTTGTAAGTGAGGTGATGCAAGACAGAGAGTCAGATAGGACAAGGAAAGATTTGTTAGGAGAATTTTGTACAGAGTCCAGTGCCATGTCAATGGCAGTGGCCTCTGCAAAGAAAATGGGAGGCTTCGGGATGGAGTCTCCTCTAGTGTGTACTGTTTGAGGATAGGGCAGCAGTGCCCACATCGGAGTCCGATTTAGAGCTATCTGTGAAGATTAGCTCAGCATTTTTCGATAAAAGTTTTTTTGTATTCTGCTTTAAATGTTTTGGTGTTTGCGCTTGCTCTGGAGTGTGTTGTCAGCTGTAAGTCTATTTTTGCCTTGGTGAGGTGCCACAGAGGGAGTTCGGGGAAAAGAAATAGTTGGATGTCTTGTTTAGAAAAGTGTACGTTTTTGAGGTCCTCAAGGACTCCGAGGCCGAAGGGTTTGATGAGCTTTTCGTTGTTTTGGATTTTGTTTATGGTGCCTGGGCTTGTTCTGAAAATACAGTCGTGTGCTGGGTTCTCTGGAGTTCAGCTTTGTTTAATTGCGTATTGTAGTGAGAGTTGTGTGCGTCTGAATGTGAGTGATGGTATGTTTGCCTCGGCCTGGAGACTCTTCTTTGGAGAAGTGCGGAAAGCCCCCAGGGCGAGGCGGAGTCCTTAGTTTGTAGGCCTACTGGGCCTAGCATCTTCAGGACGTGGGGTTTTGCCGATCCATAGACCTGACAGCCGTAGTCAAGCCTGGATTGGACAAGGAAAATGTATAGGTGGAGAAGGTGTTTTGAGTCCCAGCCTCACTCCAGA